TGTAGTTGAATTAAACGTTCTATTTTCTTCTGAAACTTTTCTTTTCTTGGATTTATCCATGGTTGGGCTACCGGGGGTTGAAAAGCTCAATAAATCGCATGCTGGCCGGTGTCGCACATTGGCGGTTGTGATGCATATTTTGAATGACGGAGCCGCAGCAGAGGGGTGAAAGAGCCACATGTGGCTCCAGAGCCGCAAGTTGCTGACCCCTGCTTTAAAGGAAGATAGAAATACAATAGGCTTTAAGTTTTGGCCAAAAAGTTTTAAAACAAATTCATCTTAAAATGCTGAAGCAGCATGTTTTTAGGCTCTGTGCCTCTTTTCTAGGGACCCACATGTAGTGTTATGATATATAGAAAAATGATGTGGCTACTGGCACAAGGTCATAATATTGCTTCTGTCAGGTTCCCCACTCCCACCCCATGCCCCAGACCACTGATGTTGGGGATTTTAAAAAGGAAGCTTTGACAAGAACTGCAAATTAATGCAAAGTCTATGGATCACAGTGGCATATAAAACCTAATCCTTTTAATAATAAAATATTGTAAAGAAAGGTACAATACCAATTGGGAGAGAAAATAATTATACAGAGAGAAAAGTTATAATAACTTAAGCTTTTATTAACTAAACAACTTAATAGTAAGTATATATCGATTTAACTTCAGCAAAAAAAATTGTTTTCAATGTAAGCACAACATCTCCCAAAGGTCCTAGGACTTCTGACCTTAATGAAATGTTGCATACACCCCTGCAGTCACATCAGAGGTGGTATTCAGCAGGTTCTGGAGAACCGGTGGTAGAAATTTTGAGTAGTTTAGAGAACCAGTAAATACCACCTCTGACTGGCTCCGTCTCATCTATTCTCAGAGTCCCAGCTGATCGGGAGGAAATGGGGATTTTGCAGTGGAGTGTGGAGGGAATGGAGATTTTACAGTATCCTTCCCCTGCCACGCCCACCAAGCCATGCCACACCCACATAACCAGTAGTAAAAAAAATTTGAATCCCACCACTGAGTCACATGACTATATTTTGGATACTTGGCATATAGGTTCCCATTTATGTCTGGTGGTAGCATCCCAAAGTCATACGACCACAATTTTCAAAGATTTTTCCTGATTTCTGCTGATTTTTCCTGATTTCTTCAGTTTTTGTTCAAAAAAAAATCCTAAGTGCGAAGGACTACCTATAATTTGCTATTCAGTTAGTGATGTCCCCGATTTTATAACAATGTAAAAATACATAAAACCAGTGAATAGATTCTGTCTCAGTAAACAGCTGTTCATTGTTGGCCTGAATTTCAGGTAGGAACTTTTGTTGTTTTTGATAACCGAACAGCAAATTACAGGTAGCTCTCTGCAATTAGGATTGGGATTTCAGTCATAAATCATGAAGGACATAAGACAAGGCATCCGTGTGACTGCACCTGATTTTACAACTGTTTTATATGGGAGTCATTAAGTGAATCAGATGATTGTAAGTCAATCCATTCTCCAGACTGGGCTCTCTTATTTTCTCATCCTCCATAGTTCTGATAGACATTTCAAGGAACAAAATGTTGTGAAAACAGTTGCCTCAGGTTTAAATCTTGGAGGCTATAAATTACTTAATATTCATCTGTGGGATTTCTGGCAGGTGACAAAAGGAAGTCTTTAACCATTTTTCCAGCTCTATAAAATTAGAATTTCTAAACCTTTTTTTCTTTTTGCTGACTGATTAGCAACCATGGTTCCACAAACAGATGTCTTAAATGCATCCTAGAGTATTAATATAGGAATACAGCCATGATTTATTTAAAAAATGAGCATATGTCCTTCTTCATCTACTTCATAAAAAAGTACTGCATGCTGAAATATTAAAATACCATGTAGAATTAAGGTATAATTTTGAAATTTCAGAGTGAGAGTCCTTGGAGCACAGTCTAAGATTGCAGCGGGGCCTATTGAGAAGTCCCACAATTTGGTTCACCAGAATATAAGAAATAAATAATCTATTCTAAAGCCATTTTGATATGCACAAGAAAAAAAGTATGCAGTATTCACTACATTTTAGATTTTAAAAAACACCGAACATCTCTTAACTGAATTCGGTTAAATGCTTGCAGTGATTTTGAATTTTCAGAATAAAGTACGGTAGGTCTTTTGAAGTCTTTAGTCTAGCTGAGTTCTTGCGCTCCATTAAAATCGTCAATACAACTTGTATATTGAGGTATTGAGGAATACATTGTAGAGAAAAATCTATGAGCTTTTTTTCTGAAATACTTTGCAGTTAACTGGAGCAAAAAATGACATTAGCTACCATCTTTACTATCAAAAAGTAAAGGACCCTTTACTGCCACAGGGCTTGTACATTACTTTTAAAACAGTTATTAAATATACAGTACTAACTACCCTTATGTGCTTTTTTAAACATCCATTAGTACAGTTTCATCAAATGTAGATCCTAGATCTCAAAGAACAGAATATATGATATATCAGAATAATGTATAGTTATACTTTTCCCAGCTGATTGCAAACTTAAATTTAGTCTGTCTACTATTCCAACTCATTATTTTAAGTACTACACCTCCACATAGTCAAAATATTTCTCTCAATGTTTTTTAAGTATTCAGTCAATAACCAGCACAAAAAAGCAGAGAAATAGAATACACATACACACACACACACACACACACACACACACACACACTATAACAATCCCCACCACAAAACAACTCAGCAGGAGAGGAAATTCTCAAGGTCAATTCCAATCATTTTAGATAAATTAAAAGAATGATGTATGCATTTATGTCATGTCCTACCAGTAGTCACATACATACAGTAATTAGTGAGATAACAGGAATCTGAAGACTATTATTAGCAACTAGCTGTACCTGGCCACGCGTTGCTGTGGTTCAGTCTTGTGGGTATACAATATTTTTTGATAGAGCGCCAATAATTTCTCTCTGTAGCTCAAGTCACGCCTACTTTGCCTCCGTTCCACCAGTCTTTTCACTCGGTCGATTGGATTCAGACCTGAGTTGCCTTTCTGTATGTTTCTTTTTGGACTGTAACGTCGTTTAATCAATTGCTTTCTTGGACTTTTACCTATTTGGTGTTTGTATTGGGAGAGCTGCGCATCATGGGATTGGCGGAGGCCTCCGCCCGGGCTGCTGTCGGTGAGTTTACGTTCCTGGGGCTCTGGGATGCTGGCCGCCAACAAATAATTTGAATCCAGCAGCCATCCAGAGGTTTGTCTTCGGACGCCTCCGAGGATACTTTGCCGCGGGTATAAGAAGGTGAAGCTGGTATAACCGCCTTCACCTTTACAGCTCTCCGCACCACAGGCGGCATCGGGGTCCCTGCCAAAGGTATGGCATACTCCGTTAGTTGGGAGGACGCTTCGCAGCGGTTGACATTTCCCGCCATTTTGCTTGTGAGTTTAGCGGCGGCAGTGCTGAGGGGAAAAGACCCGGCTCGCGGCTGCCATTGTGGTGCTGCGACGTTAAAGTCATAAAATATTTAGTATAGCGTGTGTTGCTTTTACGTCCAACAGATGGCGCTGTTTTTCAAAAACATGTTTTTACCATTTTTACCTGTCACAGGTGTGACATCTATATAATATAGATATATAAAAACACGCGCGTATTCGAATGCAACGTTGTGTCCAAATTTCAAAGCAATCGGTGAAGAACTTTCGGAGCGGAGATTTAAGATTTTGAACAAACGAACATTTACATTTTTATTTATATAGATAAAATCATTTTATTTTAATATACAAATGAAGAGATGGGATTTTTCCTAGTTGTATCAGGATATGCTGCAGCAAAGATGAAAGGGGTACAGTGCATTAATGCAAAGTTATGTTCAGTCCATTGACTAACTTTTCAGTCAAAATACTGGAGTATCATATTTTGGAGTGTCGTATTTCATTAACAGAAATGATGTGAAATAAACCTGGACTAGCAGTTGGTCTCCAGGAGTGTTCATTGTCTTTAAAATTGTAATGAAAAGTTATTTCTGGTAACATTCAATCAGACTCTTTGTGAACATCATTAGTATTCTCAGTTTTTTTGAATAATGATATTTTTTTTCTAGTTATCTGTATCTTGTGTATTTAAGAGATTACAACTCTGTATGATAACAACCACCCAGTTGGGTTGGGCCAACGAGGCATCTCTCTATTCTGTCACTTGGTTTATACAATTGGATGCGCTCAAACAGGAGATGAAAACTTATCCTTCTTTATTCTATCGTTGTTTCCTTGCAACTAGTGTTATGAGGCATGCTATTGAAAAAAACTGTCTCCCATTAATTTATCCAATCCCCTTTTAGAACTCCCCCGGTTAGTGATATCACCATGTTTTGTAATAAGGATTCCACAAATTAATTGGGCACTAGCTTCGACATATGACCACAACTGAACCCAAATTTTCTAAGTGAAACACTTATTAAGTGCATTTTGCCCATTTTACGACCTTTCTTGCCACAGTGGATAAGTGAATCACTGCAGTTGATAAGTTAGTAACATTGTTGTTAAGTGAATCTGGTTTCCCCATTGACTTTGCTTGCCAGTAGGTCACAAAAGGTGATTGCATGACCTCTGGATACTGCAACCATCATAAATAAGAACCAATTGCCAAGCATCCTAATTCTTTTTAAGTGTTTTTAATTGTTTTGTTTATCGTTTTAATTAATGGGGCCAAATCTATATATATATTTTAACTGTATTTTAATATTTGTAATTGATGTTTTTATTTGGCTGTTCACCGCCCTGAGTCCTCAGTGAGAAGGGCGGTATACAAATTCAAAATAAAATAAAAATAAAAAATAATGATGATCACATGATGATGGGGATGCTGTGAAGGTTGTAACTGAAAAAGTCTTTTTTTTCCAGTCCCATTGTAACTTTGATCGGTCATTAAACGAACCTCCTAAGCTTAATGTTGGGGTAAGGTGTGGGAGGAAAGTGCGTAGAATTCAAATGTTGCCTTCAAATTTATTTGAGATTATTTTTTCTATAGATTCCAGATTTCACTATCACAGAATTGTCTTCAGAATCTGATGAGATACCGGACATCTCGGATTTGGACGAAGAAGGACTGCCTGACTATTCCCATGCAAATGGCCCAATCACCATGGAACAAATAGTGGAAGCATAAGAAAAAACTGTTCCTTTAAATACAATGTATGTGTGTGCTCTGTGTGAGTGATGTGCATCTACTTGCATATAGATACACATGCAGTGCATATGCACACTTAATTACAATTCTGCTTTATGGGATGATAGCTATTGGAGAGTGCATCTTTGTTTAATTTAGATCAGCCAACATTCAGCTACTTGATTCATTGTTATAGAACACAGACAAGTATTTTAAGATAAGTCATAGATGCTTTAGGTGATAGATAAATGTATTGAAATGGTCTTAAACGTCCTTTGAAGCTTAGACCACAATTGGGCCAATAATGGCTTTTGAAGCAATAGCCTTAACAATTCACCTGAAATGTGGCCTATGAGATGATTTGCTGTCTTAAGTTTCCTTCCTTTCTTAGCAAAGCACTTATGCTGAGCAACATATCTATATTTTAATCCGTTGCAAAAACTTCAAACTAAAATAATACATTGCTCAATTCTCCGTGATTGTTCAATTCTCTGTAATTGTGTGATTAGGTGTATTAAACTTTTGAAACAATTTTCTTATACTCTTTGCCCTACCCAAATACATTGGGAGTGCAATTCCCAGATGACAAGGCACACAATCCCAACACATTTGGGAGATCCATAGTTGAGAAAGGCTGTTTTAATGCAATGAAAATATTTGGTGTCTCTTTAAAGTATAAGGTTCTTGTCCAATATGTCAGTGCTTCAATAACATATCAACCAAAATGTTATTAAAGTAATAAACCTATATTCTGGCTGTGGATTCACATAACTTGATACCGCTCCCTAAAATCCATTGCAGATAGAAAACTGGCAGCTACATAGAGGAAATACTATTTTTATTTTAAATAATTAGGTTAAAGCACACAACTCCCCATTAGATTTTACATTTATATAAGAATAAAGTTTAAGATTTAAATGAGTCTGAAGAGAAGTAATGTACACACTCAAAAAGGATATATGAAAACTACCTTCTAAAAGGGGAGGAGTTTGAAGAAAAGAACAATAAAGATGCAAGTACTATGATGGCAAAAATATGAGAAAATGGCATTTATCCTGCAGGTTCTGCTCATTGTAGAAGTGTGATTGTTATTTGTTGTCATCACCATTCTTTTCCTATGCCACTGGAACTTTGTTTCTATTTGTTGTGGGAATATGAGGACATTTCTTGGTGCTAATTTAGTAGATTCCATAAAGCTAGGGTTAAAAAATAATTTACTTCCTTTGTAATGTAAAGCAAGCGTCTTTAATATCAGATGTAGTATGTAAGTTGTTAGAAATATTTACTGAAATCTCTTGGAAATAAAGTTTGAACTGATATTTGATTATTGCATTAATGTTTTGCCTTTTTTCACTCCTTTCCCTATTAATTAAATATATAGTCATATAAGGTTACAGTATCTTTGATAATATGACATATAGTGCTAGATCTGGGGAAATGGTTACTCAACACCCTTATATTGATTTAAAAAACAAGTGATTTCCATGAACAACACAATATGCTTCTGTCTTCGATTCCAGAAAAAAATACTTGATGAAAAAATAGTTGTTGCATATGTAAAGTCATGGCTGAAAGGGAAAGTTCTTACACACAGTTTAATGAACCCTTAGATTTAACTCCCATTGTTTTAAAAAATATAATAAGTGATCATTTGAGTAATGCTACATTCTAGAAGCTTACAAATCCTATGTAGCCTTTGGATGATCTGTTTCATATAAGATCAAAGGAGTTGACACTGTGCATCAGTTCCTCATCAGACAGATGATATCCTATATAGTAATACAGTAGTACCTTAGTATTCATCATTAATTGGTTCCAGGAGGTGTGATAAGTACCAAAAAGGACGAGTACCAAACAAATTTTTCCTATAAGGTATTATATAGTGACTTGACAAGGCAGGCGACAGAAGTTCTAGCTCTGATGGCGAACCTATAGCACGTGTGCCACAGGTGGCATGCAGAGCCATATCGGTGGGCAAATGAGTGTTGCGCGCTAGCCACCTGATTTTCGCGCCTTCCAGGCCCACTGGAAGTCGGGAAATGGGCTGTTTCTGGCCTCCAGAGGGCCTCGGACAGGGTGGGAAAGGCCGTTTTCGACCTCCCCAGGCTCCAAGAAAGCCTCTGGAGCCTAGAGATGGCAAAAAATGGGCCTACCAGGCCTACTGTGCCATCGCGTGCCAAAAGCGGGGGGAGCACAGGGGGGTTGTGCGCACATGCATGAGGGGGTGGGGTGCATTGAATTATGGGTGTGGGCATGCACACACACGACCCCCCCCGCTCTTGGCATGCGACGGCAAAAGGGTTAGCCATCATTGTTCTAGCTTATGCATTGATACCAAACAAATGATAAATACCAGCACAAAATCCCTACCTGACAACGTGTTGCTCTGACTGGGTTGAGTAAATATAATGAGTCAATGCCTACTATAGATGGCTTTCAACCCTACCTCCCATTGGTATATGCACCAAATTGCAACTATTCATTTTACATAGGTCCTTGAACTTTAGGATAGTGGCTTGGTGAGGACATCTTATTTCTTCTGCCAGACAGCAATATTTATATGCTATTAAAACTCTCATTGCGTTTATCTGTACCCTCGAGTTAGCTCAAATGATACATTAGACCACAACAATTTTTAAATCAAGGTACCTAAAATCAGTTGTAAAAATCCAGGAATTACTCCTATGAAATTGAAATTTCGTGATGTTCAGACTAGTTTTATTCACATTGCATTGTCTCCATTATCACAAGATCCGGATTTCTGACACTCCCTGCTAGCTTTTCACATGCAGAGTCAATGGGGAAGCCAGCAGGAAGTCTGAAATCAGTCTTGTTCCTACTGCCTTTTTGCCCATCTATGATCATTCCATTTATCTGTTTAGGTAAGTAAATATTGATTTATTATTGAAGCTCATTTGCTACCGTAATTATTTTTCTGTTTATGATGTAGACTCTTCTGAAATGATCATGGGATTGTCCAGCACTGGGGTTAAAAAATATAGGGTAAGTCTAAAACGTAATGTTTATTCTGATAACATCAGCCTGTTCTACCTTTCTCTCAAAAGATGACCCCGGGGGTCAGAGTTGTTTTAACAATCCCTTTATGTTATACATCTTTTATATAATGGTTTTAAGCATCCATGTATTTTGTATGTCATCTAATCTCAGGGAAAGTAGAATATTGCTCTTGTTATCTTCATGTAGTTGGCTTTGGCTCATTGTTTCCAAAATCCAATGGTCACTTATTAGCTATATCAGCTCTTGATATGCTTCAGTTGCAGACATGCATTATGTTCAGGAAAGAAGGCAAACAATTATTAGTGTAACCAATAATTCCTCATGCATAATAGAATAAATTAGTAGATTTTCAATCCTCAATTTTAGCCCAGTCCATATAGTCTATAATTTGCAGGCAGTGTCAAACACTGTGTGTTTGTGTGTACATGTGTGTGCATACATTCCTTTGAGTAAATCTTTATTTGGGTAATTGCCTGGATTAGTCTCTGTAGTTTTCTCGGCAGGATTTTCAGAAGTGGTTTGCTATTTTCTTCTTTGGATTAAGAATGACTGGTACAAAGTTGCCCAAATGGCTTCCAGTTTCTAGCCTGGTACCTTAACCACCACACCAAACTAGCTCTCTCTTGGTCAGTTTCTACAATTCTTTGAAGGTATCTTCTATCTATCCTGTTGAATATTTTTCTATTCTATTCAAAGCTAAGAAGATATCCAGTTCTTTGACTTTTGTCACTTTGTGTAAGACGTTTATAATTAATTTATTTTAAAATTGGTGGCGCAGCAGACTAAAGCACTGTTAAGTAACACCAGCTGCCTGCAATTACTGCAAGTTCAAATCTCACCAGGCTCAAGGTTGACTCAGCCTTCCATCCTTTCGAGGTAGGTAAAATGAAGACCCGGTTTGTGGGAGCAATAAGCTGACTTTGTATAAAAATGAACACCGCTTGGGGGGGGCGAAAGCCCTATTAAGCAGGTATATACAAAAGTATGAAGGCTATTGCTTAACGCATTGTAAGCCGCCCTGAGTCTCCGGAAAAGGGCGGCATATAAATCGAACCAATAAATAAACAATAAATAAATAAATTTCATTTTTTAACTGTCGGCATTGCCTTTCCTTCCCAGTGCTTAGCAAGTACAATCCTCACGGATCAAACGTCCCAAATTGTTTTTCAGTTGATTCATCCATAATATCTAAAAGAAAAGCTTTTGGTTATATTAATATTTGTATCTTAAGTATTTGCTGCATTATCATTATGTTTATCCAGAATGTTTTCACATACTTACAAAACCACCACATATGACAAAATGTGCCTGGATTTTGATTACATTTCCAACACTTGTTAGAAGTCCCTCTATACATTTTTGCTAATCTATCTGGAGTCAAACACCAACAATACACCATTTTATAAAAAATTACTTTCAAAGTATAATTCAAAGTAAATTTTAATCCATTAGTCTACATTCTCCCATTTATCTAGCGTTATATTATACCCAAATTGTTTTGCCCATTTTGCCATGCAGTCTTTTACATATTGTCTTCCAAGTTCAGCTTGAATAATATTTTATATACTTTAGCAATCAAGTGGTCATCTCCAGAAGATAAATTGATATCTAATTCAGTTTTAACTCCTGTGAAAACAAAACATTTTGATCAAGTTTAAATCATTAAAAAATTCTATAATAATTAAACCAGTCACCAAAAAAACCCTTCACTTACTAATTATCCACAATGCTGTCGTCATCTTTGGTTTGTTTTAACTATTATTAATAATTAATAATATAAATAAATCAATATTTAAACTTTTTATCAGATTTTTCATTCGTCTCTTGTAATATGTCATGTAACATAGAGAACTTTTTCTCAAATATTTCCATAAGAAGCTTGGCACTGTGTTTGTCTGACTCACAGCTAGACACCTTTACTTTTCTCTTAGGAGGCATTTTACAAATGTACAGAATTCCTCTCTTACAGCCAGTTCTGGCAGCAGAGAAGCAAACAAGCATATACAGTTCTTTTTTCAAGGTCAGAGGGAAAATTCCAAGAGCAAAGCAACTGGCAAGGACAATAATGTTGATTTGCAAACTGAAGTGCAGAGTGGGGAAAAAATGAGAGTTGCATACAGAATGCAATAAAAATACAATGAAGATATAAAATATTTTCAAATTGATAATATGTACAGTCTTTTTGGTAAAAGTTCAATATGAATAGGTCATTAAATCATTCAGTAATTGAAGATGACTTGTTGCCATTTGCCTCTTCCGTATGGGGAGATAAGCTATTTTACCTCACACCTTCGGTACTATTAAATCAATTAATTAGTATCAATTAACAAGGGAAAGTTTCAAAATTCCAGCAGACAGCCAGCAATTAACATGCAGAAAGAGAAGAAAAAAGAAAGTTTTGCAAATAAGTGGGGTTGAAAGCAGAGGTGTTCTTCAAAAAAAAAAGACTGGGGGGATAGGATGTGAGCCCTTCCTTTGCTTGAGATTACCAAGGAGATTAAACCCTCAGAATCTCACCTCCAGGCCAGGCAGGACAATCCAAGGACTTTCATGTTGATTTCGCATCACTCATTTTCTAATCCAGGAGTGAATAATCCTAGAAAGACCAGCTCCCAGCAACCAAACTAATGTAGATGAAGCGGGATCTGATAGATGACCACTGGATAACTTTCTATTCACTCTATTCTAAAAAGCAGAAAATGCATCCGGTTGGAAAAAGTACAAACTCAGCCAAAATCCTTTTGATACCTTTAGGAGGCCTCTAAATTGTCAGAAGATAGGAACATTCTAATGACATACAGCTTAAAGGTTGGTTAGGTCAAGGGTATCCACATGAGCTAGAAGTCGTTTATCAACAGAAGATAATTTGAATCTATGCTCCAGTTATTTACAGAAGAATTATGATTGTTTGGCAAGGATAATGTAAAACTTTAGTAATTAGGAAATGTCAATTAAATATAACAAATGTATATGACCATATAAACTGCTGAGTTAACAGAATCCTTTGTCTTAGAAATGTATAAAACCAGTTGTATCAGAATTCTCTCCTTGTTCAAAGCTTCATGTACAAAACTGGCTCTGAACCTTGCGCAATAAAACTGTCTCTGGCTGACCTAGGAATGTTGCTTTGTCCTCATCATTCCACAACAAAACCAGTCATTTGTCTAGCTAGCAGAGCAAAAAATGCACTGCTGGTCCAGAAACCATTTTCTGAGTGAGGTCCCATTATAAAATGGATTGTGATTCATAGGTATTTGTGGATTTGGAAAAATGGTGTGGATCTGAAAAAATGTTTTGCAACTTTAT